TTTGTTTTTCTTAGACCATCTTGTGCGTCTGTCCTGAGGTTGATTGCCATAGGCAGAGGATGCCATGACAACTGGCTTGTTGTCCAACCACTTAATGAAACCACTTAAAGTTCAGGTCTGAGTACCATCTCTGATGCTCCTCCTTCTTTCTTCTTCAAGGGCTTATTCCCTATGATCTTCTTCATCAGACAACTCAAGATCTGGGTTTCCCTCATCAAACTGCAATAAATTTCTTTCTGCTTCTAAAAAGGACTCCTTTTCTGCTCATTTAAAAAAACAGAACAAAATGGAGGAAATAACTACAAATGTCCACTACGGAGGACATTTTTTTAACACTTCAATACTATACTAAAATGAAGTTAGAATTAAGCATACTATGTTTTAATGTGTTATTAAGAGACTTATTTAAAATATGTTAACAACATTTATAGCTAAAAATTGCTTAATAAGAAGTTTTATGCACTTACTTTTCTTCTTCCCATAAAATGTGCTTGCAGCAATGGCTGCCATGTTCCTTAATGAAAAAAACTAAAGTTCCCAAAGCTCCACCCCTTCACATTTGGTATCATTGGAAAGCCCTAAATGTCCTCTGTAGATACCAAAAGGAGGCAATTCTGTAGTATGCAGTGCATGGGAGATATTCAGGTTTAGAAAGGTACTCTACAGAGGACAAATTTGCATTGCTGGTAGTCAGAAGGATAAGGCAACACAAGCTGAAAACGGTTTCATCACAGGTATAAGGTCCTCTCTGTTGGCCTTCTTGCTTACAAGCATCCACTGCCTCCCGAGAAACCTCTTTCAAATGATCCTGTCCTCCAATGAGATGAGAGATGGTGTACATGAGAATCGGACGTCCACTTGGAGCAGCTGCATTTCTGCTTCTGCGTATTATGTGGGTGTTGCACATATGTGCAACTTGCTGGAGCTCTTCCTGTTAAATATTAAAAATTAAAAATCTCATATCAGTAAAAGAACACATTTCTCTGGGCTCAACATGTTACCCAAAAGCACCACACAGTGACAGTCAGAAAAACAGAGTTTATCAAAAATACTCAACAACAAGA